AGCCTACGGGGCCTGGGCAGGCTAATTGCTAGGATTTGACAGATTCTGGGCAGAGCCCCCAGCCCTCTGTGCCTTTTTCACCAGAAGTTTGAAATTCCACCTATTCCTGTGAGCCAAGAACACAGATATCCCTGAGAGCTCTATAATGTCACTGGTTGCCTTTTTGTAGTGCACTTTTTGTGCCTAGGGTCTTGATTTTTACAAAGATCCCCCCCCCCCAAATATTTAGGAAATATGCTCAGTGATGAAAAGTCATTTGCCCAACGTCACCTGGTGGCATTTGTTGCTGGCTGGATAATGCTTGCCCTGATCAGTCTTCTGCTGGTGGCTTTGGGAGGGGACAGGGAATGCAAATGCTCCTCTGGAAGAGAGGTATTGACTGGAAGAAGGTGAGAGGCTCAAAAGAGAAGGCAAACTCTGATGCTTCTACAACTTTCCACGTGGGGTTGCATTCAGTGTACCTCTCCTGCTTAGCGCCTCCTTCTTACCTCTAAAAATGAGAATCACAGCATCCCCCTAACCCTGCACAGCCTCCCCTCTGCCTCACAGGGCTGCGGTGAGGGTGATAGCAGAGCTGCCCAGAGCTGTGGGGGCAGGAAGTGGGCAGTCATTACTTTTTATTAGAGCCATAGTTAACACCCACTGCCCCTCAAAAGGATGGAATAAGTAATGATGGGGGCCAGGGAAAGGAGGCTTCTTGGGAATAAATGAAAACACATTGTAATTATATTCAATTATCATCATCGGTTTTATTGGTGTTGCTGGGTGTGAGAGCTAGAAGTGAAACCGGCCTATAGGAGAAGCTCCCCTGAGGCCCTGCTGCCTTCTTCTCTCTGCCTAACCATCCCCTCACCTGGGCCTAGCTCCCACCCTGCATTGGAGGAATAAGAAACACTAAAGGTTGGTGTCCCACCACTGGTCTCTAGGCATAGTCTTTGGAGCAGAAGGATGTGACTGATTCAATAGGGGACCAGCTCAGGAGGAGCAGGGTGGGAGTAGGGGTTGCAGAAGTGGGAAGGGATGTCCATTCTTTGGGAGGTAAGGTTACCTGGGCTTACTGTGAACGTGTGAACCTCGGGTCCTTTGGTACCTGCCACAGAACCGCCTTCTCCCCACCAGCTGCCTTCCAGAGTCACGAGCCTGACTTCAGCATCACAAGCCTTTCTCTACCCCCACAAATGGGGAAAAGCTCCCCTGTTCTCACTCTAAGCTCTCCCAGCTGCGACGATCTCTCACATGCAGACTCCTGGTCCTGATGACTGTGCTTGGGAAATCTAAGGGGCAAGACGTCAGAGGTCTGCTGCTAAGAGCCTAGCATGGAGGGGCATGAGGCTGGCAACTGGGAGTGTCACCCTCCTCAGCTTTGGCAGAGTGAGTGGACTCTGCCTCTCATAGCCTTTGGTCTTTAGCTATTGACACAGTCACCTGGTAACAGTGGGTTGCTAAGCAGCTCTCTGGACACATAGATGACCCCAGGGCAGGTGACCAGGCAGGCATACAGCAGGCTCCATTCCCATGTGCAGAGAGGGCTGGGCATTCAGGGAGAGAAGTGTCTTCCATTCTTGGGAGGAGCCCTGGGGTGGGGGTAGGGGCGACGATCAAAGTGATGTTTATCTTTCTACTGGGCAACAGAGTGCCAACGGGTCTGGGAGACTCAACCCACTCTCCCTGGCAACCTCCTTTGGCAGAGCATGAAGGCCCATTCCTCATATGAAAAACAGGACAGACAATTCCAGTGCAGTGTGGCTGGGGACCCAAGGGGCACCTGCTAAGCCGAGAGAACATGAATGTGGTACATGTCAGTCATCTGTGAGATTCCCCATTGTGAGGCATGGTCAGGGGCAGGATTGGCTGGGCATCTGACATGGGGCACAGGGGCTCTGTGCAACCCCACATGGAAAGTTGTAGAAGCATCAGAATTTGCCTTCTCTTTTGAGCCTCCCACCTTCTTCCAGTCATATACCTCCCTCCCGGAGGAGCATTTGCATTCCCTGTCCCCTCCCAAAGCCACCCACAGAAGACTGATCAAGGCAAGCATTTATCTAACAAATGCCACCAGGTGACATTGGGCAAATGACTTTTCATCACTGAGCATATTTCCTAACTGGGGAAAAAAAAGATCTGAGACCAAGGATAGATACGGAACCCTACCTGACAGACAGCGGTTCTCCCCGAAGGGCTCCCTTCTCCCCTCCCACAAAGCAGCCTTCTCTGTGCCTCCTCTGTGTCTCATATAGTCCCACAGACCAATAAAAATCATAATTCTGTGCCAGACACACTCTTCCAAGAACCTTGGATATATTAATAGACTAGATAGTGAATGCGTTTAAATTTCCCACTAACCCTGTCAGGTGTCATGATCGTCTGCATTTTACAGATGAGGAAATAAATACAATAGGCTAAGTAATGCAGTTGAGGCCACCCAGCTCGTAAGTGGCTGAATCTGGATCTGACAAACTAGGACTTACATATCATCTGTGTTGCAGGAGAAACTCGGGCTCTGGGAAATCAGTCCACTTGCTTGAAATCTTACCCAGGGAAGAGGGCGGTAGTGATGAAGCACATTTGCCCAGCAGAAGGGGAGGAGAGGAGAGGGATTCTGAGCTTGTCCTTGGCCATGTTGATTGGAGTTGACCTGACAGAGGTCTTACTGGCCCTAAAACTGATTTCCAGGAAGAAACACTTAGGCCATGAGTCAGGCCCAGGTGATAGAAACTAGTCACACTGACCTAGCACCTCAGTGTCATTACCATGAACTCCTGACCCCAGCACCAGCTGACCTTGGGGTGCCCAGTCACTCCTTGGAGGGAAGGGACCAAGGAGGAATGAGGACTGAAAGCTGACGCTGGCCCCCTGCGAGCAACAGGGATAGACAATGCACTCTGTTCTTAATGAAACAGCTACTGCTGACTTGCTGCTGGACATTTTAGAGCTGGCAATGGGGTGGGAACTTTTTATTTGAAGCAAGTGAATTATAGCATTGCCCCCGAGTGCCCCCGGCATCCTGCCACCAGGAACCCATCACAGTCTGGGCACAGGGAGGAGCCTCCTCATGCCTTCTCCACCGGCATTGTAACTCGCAGCTGTCTATCCCCAGCACACAGCAGAGGGCAGCAGAAGCTTGGCTCCCAGATGTCACCTCATAGGGTCCTCACCCCTCTACCAGCTTGCACTGAAAGGCAATGCCCTTGGTGTGAGCCTCCGTGGACTGGAGGGGTGCCAGTGCCCTCAAGTTGCTGTCTAGCCCAGCTCCACTCCTGGCACCCACCCAGATGGTTCCAGTGCTTGCAGGGCCCCTGGGATGGCCAGCTTTTGGACCCACCCTAAGGAGCCAGCACAGCTCAGGGTCCACATCCCAAAGTAGGGGCTGAACCAAGGGGCAGGGTTAGGGCGCAGAGGTCTGAGGCTGAGGCTGAGGCTGAGCTACAGGGAAGAAAAGCAGAAAAGCTTTTGTCTGAGTGGTCTCCTTCCTCTCCGTGGCGACAGGGTCAGAGGAAGAAACGTCAGTGAGAACAGAGCCAGCACTGGGAAGAGGTCAAGGTCTGCTGGGGCTGTTGTTATTGCTTTGGGCAGAGGGACTTTGTCCCCAGGAGTTCAAGCTGATGCCCAGAGGCTGGCACCACAATTCTCATCCTTACCAGATGCAGGGTGGGCGCACCAGGGGTGAGCAGAGGAGAACAGTACTATGCACCCCCTCCAAGAGAGGCAAGGTAATGGAAGGGAGCCCCTTTAGGCAGCGCTGAATCTGCATATGTGCACAGGGAACCGGGGGTGTGGACAGGTGTATGTGCATGTGACTGAGGGTGTTGGCCAGTGTCTACATGTGCATGCAGGAGGCACACAGGTGAGTGTACCCGCAGTAGGAAAAATGTGGTCATGGCTGCAATGTGGGGCATGAGCAAGTTAAACAGACACCTGGAGCACCAACAACAGAGACCAGAGGGTCGGAAGGATCAGCCCAAGGCCCTCCCTCCCAGCACTCCTCCCCATCCCCGGGCCAGAGCGTGTGGAAGGCAGCAGAGCGAGGGGGCCTGCAGAGTGTGGGGTCCATGGGTGTCCACAGACAGAAGGGCTTCAGGCACTAGGTTGCTTGGCTTTCCTGGTGCATATATGAATCCTAATGCTGATTGCAACTATGACGAGTGGCTCCCAGGGCCAACCCACATGGTGCCCGTGCTCACCAGGAGTCTGTGTGCGTGAGGTTGGCTACATGTGTCTTCACATGGACACACATGCTGCTCACATGGAGGACCCCTCAGCCTCCAACCCAGATGCCTCAGCACCCCTCTAGGCACTGAGGTCCACCACTACATGTCGGTACACAAGTGTCTGCCCCTTGAAGCTCGGGGCCAGGAGCAGCTGGGCATCTCCAGCAGGCATGTAACAGAAGGCCCGAGGGGCCTGCACGGCCAGCTCCTGGAACCGCACAAACTTCTGCCGTCCCTCATCCCACTGATAGATCTGGGTGAAGGAGAAGTCACTGCCCAGCGCCAGGTAGCGGTGACCACCTACGAGGAAGGGCTGCAGGGCCAGCGAGCCCCGGGAGGGGAGGGCTTGCACCTCTGAGAAGCGGCTGCCCTCCCAGCGCAGGATCTTGGAGTCCCCGATGTAGCGGCTGAGGCACAGGTAGCTGTCACGTCCCGCACGGAAATGTTTCACAGCCTGGGCATCAGGCACCTGAGTCACCTCGCCCTGGGCCACAAACTGCTTCTGGGTGCGACTCCACTGATAGATGACAGGCGCCTGGGAGCTGCTTGACACGATCAACCGAGGCTTGCCCTCACCATCCACAAACTCCAGGTCTGTGTCACGGTGCCAGGCGTGCAGGGCCTGGTGGGAGTAGAAGCCATTCTGGTGCCAGCGGTAGAGGCTGGTGGCACCTGCCTTGGAGCTGTCAGCCACGGCAAAGTACCAGTCGCCATCGATGCGGAAGGCCTCCAGGTCATTTGGCTTGCGCACGCGCTGCGGGTCAATGTCCTGCAGCTTGGTGAAGCGAGTGGTGTTGGGGTCCCAGTGGTAAATGTAAGAGCCACCAAACAACTGGGCCACCACCACGTACAGCTGGCTGTCCACCACCATGGGCTTGCAGTGCACTGCTGAGGGGGCTGCCACAGGAGGGAAGCAGCATCAGGCAGTGCAGGCAGCCACGTGCCCTGCCCATGCCGCAGCCTCAAAAAAGGGGTCAGTCCCTTGGGACCGTGGGCCACAGCTAGGGTCCTCTGCTACAGAAGTCCCTCTCCGCTGAAGTTCATCTCATTTTTTCACAGCTAATAATCAGTCTCAGCATCACCCTCCCTCCACCCTTACCCCCAGGGTTCGAATAGAAGCTGACACTGAGCACAAAATAGGTGTCCCCAGAAATGGACCGACTGTTTAGCCATAATGTCAGTTAGTGAATTTATATCACGTGCAGTCACTGTGCTAAGTGTGAACACATTGCCTCAGTTAATCACTCTGAAATGCACCCTCTTATTTTACCATTTCGCAGAGAGAAACTAAGACTCAGAGTCTAAGCGACTCACCAGAAGCTACCCCACTGGCGAGTGTCCAGGCGGGGAAGAAGGGAGCGCTTGAGCTCCCCCACAGCTGGGTGCAAAATGACAGCTCGATGTCTGGAGAGTTGCGTATGAAATACATTCTCCCAAGAACTCTTACTCTTGAAAGGCTTTTATGCACTAGAACAAGTGTACCTGAGGTCACGACCTGATTGATCTGACCCCTTCCCAGGCACCCGAAGCAAATGGGGCCACACTCTTCACCTGTCCTCATCTTCACCCACCCTCCTCCTTTCCATCACCCGACCTCAACCCCAAGGGAAACCCTGCTGAGTCTCAGGCTCTGGCAGTCACCGCCTGTAGCCGTGGTCTGCCTGCCCAGTGCCAGATGATCACTCAGCTCCTAAAACGCAGCTCAGACCCTCCTTGGCCACACACCCTCAAGCACCTTAGTCTCCAGCTGGCCAAAACTGAGCTCCACGTCTACCCACAGAATTGAGCCTCTCCTTCCTCCTGTGTTCTTGTCAATCTGTGGCTCCACCTAGTCACTCTGTCTAGAAACCTGGAAGCCATCCCTAGCACCTCTCTGTCCTTCACTCACCTGCAGCTGATCAGTCCCCAAGTCCTGCTAACCCTCCTTTCTGCTTTCTAGTACAGCTTGTATAAGATTCGTGTTATTTATTCCTTAAATGTTTGTTAGAATTCACCAAGGATTCCATCTGGACCTGGAGTCTTGGGGGAAGGTTTTTTGTTTTTCTTTTTAATAATGACTTCAAATTCTTTCATAGGTATAGGGCAATTTAAATTTTCTGTTTCCTCTTGTGTCAGTTTAATCCTCTTTTCTAAGTATAATTCTCCATCCCCACTGCTGCTGCCCAGCCCAGGCTCCAGCCAACCCTCCCTACTGGTCTGTCCACATGTCTTGCCCCATGCCTCACCACTCTCCGCGATGCTCACAGAGGGAGTTTTCTAAAATACAGATTGGATCGATTCACATACTTTCTCAAAGCCTGTCAGTGACCTGGTCCTCCTCTTTCTCAAGTCTCATCTGCCACCTTCCATCTTGAACCTTATGTTGTAGTCATGTGAGCTGTTTATATGCTGTGCCTGCATTCACACGATAAGCTGGTACACACCTTCTTGACTTTGCTCATGCTGTTCCCTCTGCCAGAACACCCTGCCCACATTTCTTTTTTCTCCCAGCTACGTCTCCCTCAACTTTCTAGACTCAGCTTAAATTCAGTAGATCCCAAATCGAGCTCACTAGCCACTCCTATCTCCTCCTCCTTAGTTCACAGGCACCTCCCAGTTACTTAAACCTGGAGACTGAGCATCACCCCTGACTCATCCTTCAAGACTCAGCTCAGGCATCCCTCTACCAGGAAGCTTTCCTTGATTTCCCAAGGTAGGCTTCTCCTTCGTTCTCCCAGAGCATTGTGTTCATAGCTCCCTCCTAGCACTGACCTATTAGATGGATGTTATCTGTGTATGTATCAGCCTCCCTCCAAACACTAGAACATTCTTGTGAGCAGAGACTATGTGTCATCTATCCTCCCTATAGGAACTCAACGGGGCACCCCCACCCACCCAGCAGAGCAGAGCCTGGCGCAAGTACCTGGGATCCTATCATAGTCTCGAAGCTGCCGTTCAACATAGTCCCACTTGAGGATGGTGCAAGCACTGGCACCTGGCTGGGCCAGAGCCACATAGAGGTCGCTGGAGTAAAGGAAGGGCTCAGCCGACACCGCAGGGAAGGACAGGGTCTGGTACAGCACGAAATCTGCGGGGATGAGAGGTTGGGTGGAGGAGTAAGAGCTTGCCGAGGCGGTAGGGGTTGCTCGGCTGGTGAGGCAGGGGCTTGGGGAGTTCAGGCAGTGCCTGTGGAGTGCCCTGGGTAGGCCCAGCCTGAGGCCCGAGGCAGGGGCACCTCCTACCCGTGGTGATGCAGTCGAACTCCCGCAGTGGCAAATCCTGCACCTTGTGCTCTTGGAAGCGGGGCGGGCTGGCGCAATAGATGGGGGCCACCGTGGTGTTGGTGTGTGCCAGCCACTCCACCAGCCACTTCACCTTGCAGTCACAGTTGAGCGAGTTGCCCCGCAGATCCCTGATCATGAGGGTGATGGGGGGCGGGGCAGGGTGACACAGAGAGGGACAGGTTCTCAGCTGCTCAGCCCACCTGGGCCCTTGAGGCTCTAGAAGTAGCTATAGTCAAAGCTGCTGTTGGTTGCTCACATGGCATCTTTGTGTGGATTAGAAAAAGGTTCCCCTTGGGGTGGATGCAGCCCCATTGACACATGATTGACCAGCTGAGTGGAAGCAGAGTTCAGCCCCTACTTGCCTCCTTAGCAGGCAGGTGCCATTTGCAGTGTATAACCTGCACAACTCTGTGTTGTACCCCAGTTCCTCCCACCTCTCCACAACCCAGGGCTTTTGTCCTCTTGTATAAATACTTATCGATGACTGGCTATGCTATCAGACTTTAATATAGATTAAAATCAAGCATACATTTAGAAAGTACATGTTTAAAAAACATACACGTATTGCCTCATGTGCATTTTTAGAGGACCCACAGATTCCAAGTCAGGAACCCTAACTTGGAAGACTACCAATCTACATATAACTCAACCTAGCCTTTTCGGAGGCGCCCCCTTTCCAAACCCAAGCTCACCTAGCCTCTCTAGACCTTATGATCTTCCCAATCTTGGTTCCCACAACATGCCCTTCAGGGACACGCCCTTCTGTGGCACTGTCAAAAGAGCTAAGACTAAGTCCTTACAAGTCACTCAGGATGTCCAGGGGCCGAAAGATGTCTCTGGGCAGTGTCTGCAGGTTATTGTTGGCCAGTGAGCTGCAAGAGAGACCCCTGGGTCACCTGAAGATTGTGACTGAGGCCAAAGGCCATAGGAAATAGGGATGGGCGTGGGTGGGCTGGGGAAGGGTGAGTGTGTGTGGCATGTACTCACAGGTGTGTTAGAGACTTGAGTCCTCTGAAAGTAAACTTGGAGAGTGCCCAGATGTCATTGTTCTCAATGAAGCTGGAGGAAATGAGAATCGTCTCTGCAGCCGCTCAGGCTCCCAGGACCCCCTCCCCCATCTATTTTTCTACATCCCACCTAGATTTCAGCCCATGGCCCTGAGACAGGCTTCCACTCTGAATCTGGAGACACTGAACCTGTGGTGACAGGGCGTCCCGGCAGGACGGTTTACAGAGGGATGGATGAAACAACCTCTGCTCAGGTCCTACAGGCAGAGATTGAAGGGCCCTCACCTCCCTCAGCCTTCCTCAGTCAACCTCCCCTCAGCCCACCTAGGCCCTCCTTCTTCATCCCTACTCCCTTCGGCCTCCCTCCCCTTTCCTTCCCACACACAGGTACTGCAGGTGCGACAGTCCTGTGAAGGCGTTGTCTCCGATCAGCGTAAACTTGTTGGAGTTGAGTAACCTGGAGAGACAAAGGCAGAATTAGAGCTTCCAAGGACATGCCTGTTGCCTCACCCTTGGGCTTCTTCAAAGCCTGGCTACCCTGTCTCCTACCTTCGGGACCCCAACAGAGAACCCCAGAGCAGCCTGGGCAGCCAAACCAGGCAGAAACCTGTTCTGGTCCCAGAAACTCCCAGGGCCCCTGTTTGCTCCTAGAGTAAAAACAGTCGGGGTAGATCTCTGCTGGCAAGCTGGTTCCTTCCCCAGCGCATCTCCCATCCCTCCTATCCTAACCCCTCAGCCCTCCAGTCCCTCTGAGATGGCCGGTGAGAAGGAGGTGGGGTAACTCTCATGTACCATCTCTTGTGACTGGGCTTTGAATGTAAACAGCCCCTTTTAGAATTCCAGGCCATCAGGTCTTCCCTCTGTTCAGCCCCCTGCTCTTTCTTCAAACCCCGGGGTCACTGGTCTCTAAGATGACCCCTCTCTCCTTCAGTGTCCACCCTCTGGAACCAGCCCAAATTATTGCACCCAATTCCTTTAGATGTCCAGAGGAGGCAAGTCCATTCCTAACTGGCCTCCCAATACCCATTTCTTGGCTTTTGCATGCAAGCCCTGCCCCCCTTCTCCCCAGCTGCTGCTCCCCCCACCCTTCCTTACTCCAGGCTGCTCCATCTTTTGTGGCATATCCCACTGGTGTGTAAGTAAGACATCTGCATCTTAATCTCCAAAGGCTACCTACATGGGCTCTCCTCTCCCCAGTCCAGGATCTGTCCCCTTCCACTGCCCCACCCCAAACCACCACCCGCCTTCCACAAGGCCTTGTCCATACAGGAACTGCAGCAGTGGCAGGTGGGAAAACGCTCCATCCTGGATCTCCGAGAAGGCAGCATTCACCAGCGTCCTGCAGGGGACACCTGAGTCAGTACCGGGGGGAGTATGCAGGGATTGTGCTGGTGCGGTGCGAGGTGGACAGGGCAATGGCTTCTGTAGGCACTTGTTCTGGAAACTCCCATTTCACCTGACTGGCCCTCCACCTGGGGCTGTCTTCCCCTTCTCAATGCCTGCCTTCACCATTACCCTTCCCTACCGCCTCTCTGAGCACCAATGGCCCCAGGCTCAGCTTCCTCCTCAGCCAAAAGAAGGTTCCATTACCCACACCTTCATGATCCTCTAAACACCCACAATGTGCTGGGTACTGTTGAGGGATGGGGGTACAGGTTAGCATTGTACTCCCAAGGACCACACAGCCTGTCTATTTCCGGAGGCTGTTGCTGCAAGTGACAGGCTGGCTGGCCCTGTGCAGAGTGGCTGGCGAGATCAGTGGCAGGCGTCTGCTGCCCCCCCCCCCCCGCCATGCCCCCCCACCTTGGCTGGCCCTGTGCAGAGTGGCTAGCGAGATCAGTGGCAGGCGTCTGCTGCCCCCCACCCCCCGCCATGCCCCCCCACCTCCGGGCACCTCGGGGCCAGGGTGCCGGTTGCCATGTGGGTGTTTCTCACTTCTACCTCTCCCCCTGCTGCCTCCCTCCCTTCTGGCACAAGAAGCCTTTCCGCCCTTCATTTGACATCACAGGTAGGGGGCCCACATGTTGGTGTAAACAACTCCCTCCCCCAAAGTCCAGAGCCCCGCACATAGTAGGTCTCATCGACGCTGCTGGTGGTGATTCATTCTTGGCCGTGAACTGCTTTCCCCAGCTATGGCCGCCGAGCCTGTATGACTGCAGAACGCCCTGTCCAGCTGATACCTTGAATCTCCAGTCCTAAGGACCCCCTGGAGTCCTCCTGGTCCCCACACTCTATAAGGGGGAGCAGGGTTCTCCCCATCCACTCCCAGAGCGGTCCTTGGCTTCCTCCCCCTCTCGGCTCAATCCCCACCACCACCACCCCGGGACAGGGCTGGGCACTCACAGAGAGATGACCTCCGCGGGCAGGTTCCTGGGTACTGCCTTAGAGTCCACGCAGAAGGCCGTGTCCCTGGTGCAGGAGCAGCTGGGCGGGCAGGGGGGCGTTTTGGGGGGCCTCTTGGCACTGACCTGCAGCATCAGGCAGAAGCCAAACACGGACAGCGCCAGCAGCGGGAGCCCCGAGCCCCGCCTGGCCCACACCCCCGCCATGCTGCCGGCAAGCTTTGCCTCAGGCCACCGGCCGCCCCCGCCCCACCGCTCTCAGCCACCCTGTGGGCTGGCACCGCCTGGCCACTGGCAGCCGCTGCCGCCGCAGCAAGAGGCCCAGCTGCCGGCTGCAGAGAGCAGAGAGCCGACTCCTCCAACCCTCAGCACCGGCTGCGGTCCCCTCCCCTGCTCGCTCCCGCGCGCGGGCCGGGATTGATGCGCGGAAACGAGCCGAGCAGAGGGCTGCCGGGCTGGGGTGGCCGCGGACTGCGGCGGCAGCCGCGGGGGCGCGCAGGGCGGAGTAGGGGTGCTGGGCTGAGAGTAGCGTAAGAAAGGAGTGGTTGCCGCCCTGGCCGCTCTATACTGCATGCCCTCCCGGAGGTCTCTGGCCCATCTGCTACTGTGTCTGGCACTCAGATCGTCTGTGCATGCGTGCACGGTGCCCTTGTGCATCCTAGGAGGACATGATTGCATACACGTGTGCACACGTGTCTTTGCAGGCACATGCACAGATCCCCTTGCGAGGCATTTTTGCATCAGGGATCTATGTGCCTCTGCGTCTTCCCGTGTGTGTCTTGGCCCTCGGGACACACATCTTCTAAACAGATTCATGGGCAATCATGACCGACAGGTGTGTATCTGTGTTCACGTGTGTTTCCACAGCTGGTGAATGGAATGTGCCACCGTGTCTGTGTGAGCTGAAAAGGGGATGCCGTCACTGCCGTCACTAGTGCGGGAGTGGGAATGTGGAATTCTCGAACATTTCTCACCACACAGCCACAGCCTGTTGGAACTGGGAAGATCCTTGCAAGTTTTCCGGTCCAGCCCTTTGTTTAACAAATGAAGACACTGAGGCCGGAACCAAGGGGAAAGTAGCCAAGCTCGATATCACACTTACTATGTGTCGTGAACTCCACTTACTTAATCCTTTCCACCTTTTGAGGTAGATGATATTAATCCCTTTTTACAGAGAAGAAAAGTAAGGCCCGTAGTACCAGAAAAAGAAAGTGACAAAGCAGGGCTTTAAACTCAATCTGCTCAGCTCCTAAGTTCACAGTTGTTATCCACACCAGGGGTTTTCAGAGCGTGGTCCAGGCAGCCCAAGCGGGCTTGAGAACCTCCCAGGGACTCTTGGAGGTCAAGACAATTTTCCTATTAATGTTAAGACATTATTTGCCCTTTTCACTTCCATGTTCTCACAAAGCACGCTGGAATTTTCCAGAGGCTACGCGATGATATATCTTCTATTAAGCCAGAAATGAAAGAAATTTATAAAAATGTAAAACAATGATGCTCTTCTCTCTAAATATTTTTTGCTACGTAAAATAGTTAATTTTATGTAAAAACTTATAACGTATATTGGTTTATTATTGCTATTTTAATTTAATTCTTTAATAAATATTTTTAAATTTCTCAGTAAATATCAATAGATATAACTCACATAAACAAAAGCCCTTTGGGGTCCTCAATATTTTTTAAGAGTTTGAGAACTGCTGCTCTATACCATGCTACCTCCCAGGGGAGTGTGTGTGTACGTGCGTGCGTGTGTGTGCGTGTGTGTGTGTGTGTGTGGTGTGGTATGAGTACTGTCCCAAGAGCTCCCAGGTACAGGACAAGGGGAGCCTAGAAGTCAGGTGGCTGGGCTCCTAGTCAGGTGCTCTTTCCACATCAATCCAGGAAACTGAGACTACCAGGTGTAAGATGCTTCCCCAGCTGATCTCAGCTTCTGCCAGCAGGGGATCCTCTGGTCTGAGCTTAAGTCCATGTTCTCCCAGCCAGGGATGCCCCTGCCCTTTGATAACCCACTTGTCACGGCCCATCCAGCTGCCCGTGCTGCCCCGCTCATGCCAGCTGGTGGGAAGACAACCAATGGGGGTGGAGAGGGGGGCTGGGGCAGCTGGGCAACCGTCTCCATTCGTCCCTGGCACGGCTCTGCCCAGGACACAAAGGGCAGAGTGAATCCTGTCCTGGTTCTGCAGCTGAGGGGCTGGAAGGAGGAAACCGGGAGTCACACATAGGAGTGGCTGTCATGGAGCTCTCCGCCACCATGGTCCTCAGAGGCTTTACCTCAGAGACAGCGGAAAGGGGGAGGCTGGGTCTTACTCCTCGCCAGTGAGAAAGGGTGTCCTGGGAGCTGAAGCAGATGATGATAATCATGATGATTGGACTTTCACATTATGATGTCTTGGATCCTCACAACAGCTTGTAGACGGGGACAGGCCACAGACAGTACTAGTCCCATTTCACAGATGAATACTCTAAAGCCTAGAAAGACAAAATGTCTCATTCAGTGTTCCAGAGCAAGCCAGGGAAGCACTGAGACCTCCACATACTGAAGGAATGAACTATTGACTGCTCACCAGGAGCCCTCTCATGTTTGGTGATAGTCTTATCATTGACTATAATTACCTGTTGGCTGCGTGCAAGTTCCTTGCCATGTGGCAGGTACAAAGAAGCCTCGGGAAAGCTTGCTCCCAGGGCCAGTTCCATGGCTGGAAGCCAGGTTGGAAACATAGGACAACAAAAAGCACCCACGTAGCTCATGAGAACAGCAGTGTGTGTTAAGTGGTAGGTGAACACGTGTCAGGGAGTCTGGGAGATTTTGGAGGAGGGATGGGGCATCGCAGGCCAGAGCAGTGAGGTAACAGAATGGGTGCCATTGGTTCTTGCTTGGCCTTGTAGGAGAGGCGGTATTGAAGGAGGTGGAGAGGCATTGAGGGTGGGCTTTCCAAGAGGGAAAAATGGCCTAAGTAAAGGCCAAAAAGTGAGAAGCCTGCAGCAGAGGGCTGGGGTGGGAGGCAAGGGGACAGCTATGTGTGCCCAGCTGAAGGTCCCTCCTTCTTTCCTGCTTCAAGGTTCCCAAGACTTCTGCTGGGTTGGCGCCAGCATCTGAACTTCCTTTATGAAACTGGAGGGCATCCTTCCTTCCCAACCTCCAAACAGGCAAAAAAAATGAGTAAAAGAAAGCAGGCAAGCCTAAGAGCAGCCTACAGGAGAGATTGAGGACCTAAAGGAGAGCGGAGGCGTCTCTCCAAGAAAGAGCCCCCTTTCCCAGCACCCTGTGATGATGGCAAGCCCTACCCACAGCACCTGCTCAGAACGAGCCCCACAGCTGGACTAGACGCTCCTCCACCAGATGCTCACAGGGACCCAGAGATGTTTGCAGTTATCCTTGGCCCTCCCGCTGGCTCGCTGCCCACCTGGCACAGGCTCAGTACATGTGAGTCAGCCGATCAATCCTAGTGTTGCCAGGACAACTGGGGATGGGAGTGGGGGCCCTGGCAGGCAGGGGTGGGCTGCAGGCGGCTGTCTGCTATATCTGGCACCTGCACACAGTCGAGCCTGTACACAGTTGAGGGAAGAGCTCTTCCCTCTCTTCCATGGACCCCTCTCCTCCTCTTTCACCCCTCCTAGGACACTTGCTGCTAGAGGCTTAGGCAAATATTTAAAGGGGCAGTTGGGAGTTGAGCAGAGTGGTGGGAGCAAACATTTCCTTCCTTCTCTCCTTCCCCAAGCTTCTCAGGGGCTCTCAGCTCAGATGCCATGCTGTTGCGCAAGCTGGGGGTTGAAGGCCCTCCATCTGGAGAGGGGGTCCTTGTGGGGGCAGGAGAACCCGCCAGGGCTGGAGAGTTGGAGGTCCAGTCGTGAGATCATGATCGAAAGGGAAGGCCAAGCTGTGAGGGAGCTGACAGGCAAGGGGCAGGAATTGGAGTGAAGTGTCGGAGCTGCAGTATAAGGAAGATCAGGGAGCGGGGCCAAGAGAGGAGCGAGGTGTGGGGCTCTGACTTACACACTCACGAAAGTTTAGAGCTGAAGGTGCCATAGAGCACCCCTGGCCCACTGTGCAGAGGAGCACTTGACAGAAGGGATATAGCCTTGATCTAGCACAACAAAGCCGCAGAGACCGCTTTGGGCAAGAGTAGGAAAGAGAGAGGGGAGAAGAAGGTCCAGGAAGTGAACCCATTTGGTTGAGTCGTGTTCTCAGGGCAAATTTAGGGTCAGAGGATATGAAAAGAGGAGCGAAGAGAGGAAGGGTGATGGCAGCACCCGGTGAATGGGCTGATTCAAGGACAAGGAAATTGGGATCCCATGTCACTACACCCAGCCTTGCGCAAAGCTGTCTGTACATAAGAAAGAAGTGTCAGGCATGGAATCTACTATCAAGAGCCTTCAGCTTGATCTCTGAAAATGGTTCGCCATTCACTTGATGCAGCAAACCCCACAAAATCATGCAAAGCGAGAGACTCAAATCTTCATGTTCTCTTTAAAAACATTCATGAAACTGCCCAGGCCATTAAAGGTATACATATTCGAAAAGCCTCCAAGTATCTGGAGGATGGCACTTGACAGAAGCAATGTCATTCCATGTCATTATAATGGTGGAGTTGGTAGAGGTGTCCAAGCTAAACAGTGGGGCTGGACAGAGGGTGGGTGGCCCAAAAACAGTGCTGAAATTTTGCTGCACATGCTTAAAAATGTAGAGGGCGATACTGAACTGAAAGGTTTAGATGAAGATTCTCTGGTCATCGAACACATCCGGGTGAACGAAGCCCCCAAAATGAGGTACAGAACTTACAGAACTCCTGTGGGATGATCCCCTACAGGAGCCCTCCCTGCCACACCGAGACGATCTGCACTGAAAAAGAGCAGATCGTTCCTAAACCAGAAGAGGAGGTTGCACAGAAGAAGCCATCCCAGAAGAAACTGAAAAAACACAACTCCAAAAATGTATGGCCTGCGAAGAAGTTTAGCATAAAATAAACGCAAGTAAAATAAAAGCAGGGGCTAGGGGGTAGGGGAAGCCTTCAGCTTACAAACAAGCCCATAGCGAAATACAGAAAACCTTGTGTTAGTAGGAATTCATAACCAGAGAAAACAGTTTACAGAATTTGGAAAAGAATGGCTGGGGGGAAGTCTGAGGTTAGGTACAGAAGTGTAAGAGACAGCGAGACAGGTAAAGTACCTGAAGTGAAAATCTGATGTTCCCAGAGGACTTTTGAACCGTTTATGAACCCCCACACTGATGCCTTCAGCAGCGCCCCTTCTAGGTCCACAGGCACCTCCTCTTCATGCCCCTTGCTGGAGCTCATCTTTACACGTAGGGGAAAATTCTGTTGGGAAGTGGGATGGACTCCCCACTGGGTCAGACCCTTGGCTGCCTGAAAGTTTCAGCCTGGCAGAAGAACAGGGAAAGACACAGGACTGCGAAGGCAGGTGCCAGCAAGAAAGGCGAGCATGCCAGGAAGACACCCACAGTGAGAGGAACAGATTGCCCAAGGGTAAGTGTGCTCGGCTTATCCAGCTTTGCTTTTGCCGGGGCCAAGAGGACTCATGTGCCAGGGCCAAGGGCCCTTAGGTGTTCTTGTAGCTGGCTTATCGGGTCCGAGGTTCTGGAGGGCCAGGAACAAACAGGCTTCAAAGCCAAGGGTTTGCCTGGCAGATGGAGCCTGGGTCCTTCACCTCTGTCCCCTCTCCCTACTGGCACATATAAAACCCTAGTCACATTTGAGAGATGATGAGGAGAAGGTGCCTATAGCAAGATGGATGTCGGCAGCAAAGAGGTCCTGATGGAGAGCCCACCGGTGAGTGTGATCATGTGTGTGTGCATGCGTGTGGTGGGCCTCTCTGGGCCTGTTTCCTCATCCAGATTCATTCACTCAACTCACCTAGGGCTGTGCTAAGTTGGGGCAGGGACACCAACTAGCAAGACATAGTCCCTTGGGGTGATAGATGTGGCAGCCAATGGTTCCAATATGAGGGGCTGGCTGCCACCACCAAGGTCAGTGGAAAGAGCTGTAGAGGGCACTGAGTTGGGAGCCACTAAAGGGGAGGTCAAAGGAAGCTCAATGGAGAAAATGACTTTCAAGCTGGCTCCAGAAGATAAGTAGGAGCTCCCCAGGTGGAGAAGGAGAAAGGCGCCGCAGGAAGAAGGGTGGTATGCATAAAGGCACAGAGGTGTGAGAGAGCACGGATTACCTGGGGAAGAGAGAAGGACTGGGCATGGCTGGGGTACCAGGGGTCTGGAGGAAACAGCAGGAGATATGACTGTTAAAATAGGCTCTCTTGGGTCTCTCCAAACTAGACCTCGCTTCTCCGCATCTATGGGTTTGTTGGAATTCAGGCCACCTCCTCCAGGAAGTACCCCACTGACCCCCTCATCCCTCCTCTGCACATCCATAGCATTGTTTGCCCAGCCTAGGGAGGGTGTGAGAGGGCATCGAGCTTGTGCAGGGAGAAGGGGCATCCTCATGACTTCACACCTGTCTCCTTTCCCCCGCCACCACCACATCAGGACTACTCAGCAGCCCCCCGGGGCCAGTTCCGCATCCCCTGCTGCCCTGTGCACTTGAAACGCCTTCTCATCGTGGTCGTGGTGGTGGTTCTTGTCGTCGTGGTGATTGTAGGGGCCCTGCTCATGGGTCTTCACATGAGCCAGAAACATACTGAGATGGTGAGCAGGCCTGGGATGGAGTGGGCAGCAGGTCCAGACAGATGGGCTGGGGAGGTAGAGCAGATGCCCAAGATGAATGGGAGGACAGAGGCAGGAATAGGGTGGCAAATCCAGCCTGAGCTTTTCCACCAGGCCCCTGCCCCACATCGGGACAGGCTGCTTCCTCCAGGACCTGGTTTTACTCAGCCTTTCTGAGCTCTCAGAGAACAAAGTGCATTTGAGTACAGAGAACTGAGGGTGGTCATGAGTACCGAAGGGACGAGTGGGAAAAGAGGAATGCCAGGCAGCACTGTTCCCTCCTCCAGGTCCTAGAGATGAGCATTGCGGGGCCGGAAGCCCAGCAACGCCTGGCCCTGAGCGAGCGTGCGGGCGGCACCGCCACCTTCTCCATTGGCTCCACTGGCATCGTAGTGTATGACTACCAGCGGGTGGGTATGCCCGGACCTCTCGACCCTGGCCCCAGGGGACCAATGACAAGACTTTGCTAGACTCGCCCAGCAGTGCCACTTCATACCCACCCATCTTGCCCCACTCCCCAATCTTTTTGCCTCCCCTGGGGGTGCCTGAGCTCCAGATTCTAATATGACTCCCTCCTGTGCCCAACCTAGAGGGAGGTGGCCCAGGACCAGAGTTAGGGAGTGAGCAAGGCAGGGCCTTCCTGAATGAACTCTGGCGTTCCTATGCCCAGCTCCTGATTGCCTACAAGCCGGCACCGGGAACCTGCTGCTACATCATGAAGATGGCTCCGGAGAACATCCCCAGTCTTGAGGCTCTCGCTAGAAAATTCCAGAACTTCCAGGTGAGTGTGAAGGTGAGAGGGAGCTGGTTGTCTCCCTTCCAGGGCTACTGGGAGGAGCATTTGAGATGATGGCTATTTGTCACCTGTAAAGTGCTGCTGCTCCTCTTGGGCTGTCAGGTAAGTGTCCCTTTCTAGACTCACCTGCACTACACTTGCCCTACCCATTCCCCAGCCCCACCCAACCACCCCACCTCCAGGTGGCGGCTTCAACTGAGCTCACACTACCTGGGGGCTTCTGACTCCAGCACAGCCCCCTCTTTACTGGTGAGGAAACCAAGGCTCAGAGACATTGCCTGACACACCTGAGGTCCCACAAAAGGGGCCACAGGTGAGACAGAAATTTAATTTCCAGCCTCCAAATCTGGTGCTTTATAGGTCAAGCCTGCGATGCCTCCCTCTAAGCTGGGCCAGGAGGAGGGCAGTGACACTGGCTCAGTGTCCTCCAGGGACCTGGACTTCCTAGGCACCACCGTGAGCACCCTCTGTGGCGAGGTGCCCCTCTACTACATCTAGCACCCATCAGGTGAGCATGTGCAGCTGCCAGGACAGCAGCGCGGCAGTGGCCCAGGAGGGCTTGGGCCACCTTGCCTTGTTAGCTGACCCCGCACAGGGGAATCCATTGAGGCTGGTCACCTAGGGAGCTCTGGGGAGGGAAAGTTCACAGACCTTCAATCCCCCGCCCCCAACCAGTCCCTCTCCCCAACATAATAAACAGTGTTTCTTTGCTTCGCAGGGTCCGCAGAAGCCCCAAGGGGACAGGAGAGATCCAGGAGCAAAGGGTCTTTTGCAGACAGGCAGGAAGCTGCTCCTGCCACACCACAGGAACTGGTCTTGGAGAAATGGGAGCTGTGGGGAGAGGTGGGAGCGGTCAGAAGAGAGATGGCTCCTGGGGGTATGGGGGTGGGGGTGGGGGGCTCCTACCACAAAAGAATAAAGCAGCCTGATTGAAAAACAAAGGGTGTCCTTCTCTCCTCCCACACCGCCGAGGTCCTGCTCTTGGTGAGGCAGCCAGGGGAGGGTAGAGCCTTGGGGAGCAAAGGGGGCTTTCCTATTCTCCCTCTGGCTCAGGGTGGTGGGAGAGGGGACCTGGGACCGATCCACGGGCTTTAGGCGCCCTCCAGTGGTGTCTCCCGAGAGAGGGCAGGAGACAGAAACGACTCGAGGGCCAGAGACCGAGATGCGAGAAAGCGAGGGTCCGAGAAAGGGAGAGACCGAGAGACGCAAGCTGAGAAACACGAGCTGAGACCTAGGGACAGAGCAAGGCACTGGCAGCAGGAGCGATTGACAGCGTGTCCCGCACCGGGAGGGGCTCGGGCCGGGAGCGCGCGGGAGAAGCACCGCTAGAGGGCAGCTGGCCGGGACTGCCGCCGCCCGCAGCCCGGGCCCGCGCCCCCCCCCGT